GAAGGAAGGAAGGAAGGAAGGAAGGAAGGAAGGAAGGAAGGAAGGAAAAAAATTATATAGGGGAGTTTATATTCCCCTACATTTCAGATTTCCTAAATGTAACAAGCATAATTTGCAGCAATCTGTCTATCCGAGGTTGAAAACTGCATGCAAACAATTCTGCTTAGATGTCTGGCATGTGTTTCCAGATTTTATTTAAAACCGTGAAATTTCAGAATGGCAACTGTTTCCTCCGGTTAGTTACGTATACACGTTTGAGCTAATGCCATTTCCCAAGTAATGACTTTTTTTTTATGAATAATCAGGTTTTTTTAGCTTACTCAACTTTTCCAGCGAAACTCTATACTCCCAATTTAAGTTCTTTTTTTCTCACCCTCGTTTAAAAAAAGGCTTTTGGTTCCCTTTTTTTTTTCTTTGCTCACCCCGCACTCGGCTCCATGCTGTCTTCCGTTGCTAAGCGACGCTATCAACAGTCCGCGGGCTTCCTTTACCTCGCTGCCCCGCCCTGACTTCTCGGATGAAGCCAATTGAAAAAAAAAAAGGGGGGTGGTGCAAATCTGGACAGAACCATTTCTCAACATCGTCTTCAGTGACAAAGCCGCGGCGTTGTTTCTCAACCTTAGCCATTCCCAGGTGTGTGTACTTCAAGTCCCAGAATTCCACAGCTAGCACAGCTAAATGAATAAAGACTCTGGGAACTGAAGTCCACGTATCTGGAAAACGCCAATGATGGGAAGCAACGATTAGACAAAGCGTGAAGACCGAGGTTCCGTGAAGCAAACATAGAGTTAGGAAAGGTTAGACTTATTCATGGTTAGAACAAGTAAAGCTGTTGTTGGCTTGTTGAGGAACCAAATAATTTTACGTGACTCCAATTCGTCCCCCCCCCACCCCTGTTCAGAGAAGAAAGCTTCAATTTAATTCTCGCGATATTACAATAGTCTTAAGCTTCTTCAGAACCATCATTCTCAGCGTTTTCTTGAAATTTGGCGGGAAAGAGGTTGGCGTAACGATGGAGAAGTCTTGCTTACAGTCGCCGCCGGTGAAAGTCCTGGCTGCGCAGCTGAAGCGTTGCCGCCAAGTCCCTGGCGGCTCATGGTTGTTGGACCGGGAAGAGTACGGATGTCCGGCGTTACCCGTGTCTCTGGTCTGGATGCAGGGCAAAGTACTGGCCGTGGAGCAGAATGGTTCGACTGTGCGGTTGCTGGACGAGAGCGGCTCTTTCGTGGTTTCCGGCGTGGAGAGAGTCCCTAAGGGAAAACCTTGCCTCAGCCTTGGAAATTATGTGATGGTGATGGGCTTGGTGCAGGGTTGCATGCCAGAACCTGTCCTTCAAGCTGTGAAGATGACGGATCTTTCGGGCAATCCCCTGCACAGGACTATGTGGGAGTTGGAAGTGGAAGATTTGCAAAGAAGCCTCCTCTGTGAATGAAGTTGGCATGTCAAAATGGGAATCCTTTCCTGCACGTCTCTCAGTAACAAAACAAATGGGATGGAAATGCCTGCACTGTTTAGAAGGCATGGATTAATTCCGGCTGGATTAGCTTGTGCAAAGTAATATTTTGTACTTGAGGGTACTGGATTGTTGCAAAGATAAAATATCTATATTGAATATATTTATTGCCCCATTGTGGAGAATGCTCTTCTTTCTTCAGGCTGGACTTCCATTAAAGGAGTACTGTGCTACAGAATTCCCTACAGACATCTGACTTCAGACATTACTATTTTAACATGACTTACAATTCTAGAATAAAACTGTTTTGATAACAATGGATAATGTTAATTTGAAGGCTTGTTTTTAATGCGTAGGTCAGACTGAGAGGTAGACCACATCCCAATATAGCAAGAGTTCAGAGAAACAATTGCATGATGAAGTTATACTATATCACAATAAAATATGAATTTATTACTGGAGTGTCTGGTTTAATGTTCCTGGATAGTGAATAACTAGACTCTTGATGACATATTTAATGGAAATAAAATATATTTTAAGTGTTATGTTTTAAAAACTTTGCTATTGGAACTTTTAATGCTGGAATTGTCCTGGAGTTTGAAAATAGATAGTGCCTTCGACATTTCACATTTTTGCCTTCTAGCATGTTATTTTGATCTGAAAAGTGTAAACACCTTGTACTACCAGTATATTACAAAAAGTGTATTCTGCTTTGGCCAGCTGTTTATCTAGTACCCTCTTTTGCAAGTTAGAGTTAGATTTAGTCTTTTAATTCAAGATAATACAGATTTTGTGGAATTTCTTTGGTTTCTCAGAGTAATAGTGAATATAAACTTAAAAAGTTAGACATTCTTGGACATTTAGCATATGCAATACTTGAAGGGGGCTTCTAGAATGTAGTTTTGTTCTAATCATTTAGATGTAAATAATTCACAAACAGGATTAATAGAATAGTATTCATTCTTATATCAATAAGTATGGCATGAAAAATTTTTGCTGAATTTTTAAAGAACATCTTCATGTTTCATATCTCAATAAAGATTCTCAGGCATCCAGGTGAGTCATGGCAATTGTACTTCTTGTTCGTTCAAAACATTTTGCTGCTTATCCAAATAGCTTCATTACTCTGAGCAAGGGGGTTAGGGGGAACCCCATATATGTATCCTGGACCTGTGTCTGAATACCACTTATTTCACTTTCAGAGGTGACTTCTACAGATAGAAATACGGCTGAGCTGTGGATTCCCCCATTGTTACCAATCTATTCATGGAAGAAGTAGAGAAGACAGCACTAAGCACCTTCCAGGGATGACATCACCCACTAGTTTTCAGGTATGTGGATGACACCTGGGCAAAAAAATCAAGTACAGATCTTCACAGACTGTATAAATACTGTCCAAATATCAAGTTCATCAGGGAAGACACCAAAGACAACAGGCTTGTGTCCCTAGTCTGTGAAGTTCTGATTAGGATCTGTGGCAACCTAGAAATAGAGAGCTACAGGAAACCCACACTCGGAGATCAGTACCTGCTGTTTTACTCCCACCATCCACTTCAACACAAGCTAGGCATCATCAGAACACTATATTATAGGGCAGAAAACATCCCCACCTCCAGGAATGCCCAAAAGAAGGAAAGCGGTCATTTAAGGACAGCTCTTAAGGCCTCAGGATATCAGATTGGGCCTTTATTAAATTAGTATCTGGATCCAACAAAAGAATGGCAGACAGAGCTGAGGCTAAGAGTCAACAGGTCATTCCTTATATGGCTAGTGAATCAGAAAAGCTAAAACATATTTGGAAAGCACCACATACCTGCGTTCTTCAAACACACTGAGACAGGATTGTTCACCCTAAAGAACAGACATAAAAACATACAAAAAGTAATGTGTGTGTATGCAGTCCAATGGAGTGAGGAGTCTTCAGAGTTCTATATTGGAGAAACCAAGCAGTTTTTACATAAGAGGATGGCCCAGCATAGGAGAATCAACACCATAGGACCAGAATCATCAGTATACTTCATTTAAAAGAAAAGGAGCACTCTTTTGAGGACAAGTAATGCTCACATTTTGGACAGGAAGACAGATGGCTTGAGAAAGCAGTGAAGGAATCCATTTATGCCAAAGTGGAAAATTCTTCCCTCAGTAAAGATGGAGGTCTCAGATACCTGTCTCATTTTTTAATGCTACCTGTGCATCACTTCCAAAGAAGATTAAAATGACAGATTCACCAGGAAGGCCACACTTAATGACCCACTTAGGTAAAGGATTTAGGAGTTGGAGCATTTACATTCCAATAACTTTGCTTATTCACTTAAGAAGCCTGTCCAAATTGGTGAGAAATGAAACCGCTCCGGAGGACGTATATGGAGTTCCCCTAACCAACTTGCTCAGACTGAAGAAACTATTTGAATAAGCAGCAAACATTTCCAACTAAGAAGGGACTCCAGTTGTCATGACTGAACGTCTAGACATCTTAATGTTTCATGAAGATACCTCCAAGGTGCCCACCATAGAGAAACATTTGATTCATCTTAAGAAGTTCTATTTTCAAAATATTTGTAGTGTTTACTGGCTTCCATAGTCATTTTGGCCTGGGTTGCAGGAGAGACTAAGTATCTAAAAGCATCCTGGATGCAGGATATTTCAAAAAGCACCCCACCGGCATTATGCAAGCTCCTTATACTGTATTATTGAATTAGCATTCTTTTGAAAGAGTTTTAGACATGTGTACAGGATTTTAGTTTTTTGACAACGCTGCCAATCCTGTCATTCAGAAGATCAATTTAAATGGGGAAAGGCCAGATTCTGTCAGATGTTTGCATTATGTTATTCAGTCTTCTGCCGACAAAGGTTTTGCATGGCTGGACTTTCTATTATTTGAGAGACGGGGTGGTAGTGCCATTTTGCAACTTGAAATTCATCCATGCCTGTCACTTGAGCCATTTGAAATGTGGCCAAAGCTTTTATCTCAAGTGCCCATCCGCAGCTGTCAGGACCACCCCACCATGTGTTAAAAACAGCAGTTGGTGTTTAGGTGACAGGCAATAAAATTAATAACAACTGTTAAGATGCCTTCATCTGTCAGCCTCACTCATGAGTAGGGTTATGACATCGGCATTTTACTTAGGCCTGCATAATTTTGCTGCCAACTCAAGAATGCACATTGATGTGAACTAAGTGAATATCGTCGGTATAGAATTTACTGGCAGGATAATATGTGAAGAATTGCAGTCTAATATCTTTGGACATGCCACTCCATTACTTTTGAGGGACTTCTTAAATAGTTAAGTTGAAGCTAGCAAATTGAACTTGATGGATGTCCATATCTGATTCAATGCCATGTTCACACATTTAACTGGTTACTAAATTCATGTTTTGGGTTCATACAGTATATAATCACAAACTGAACAGGGTGATTCATATAAATTACAAAAAAAACCCTGCAAAGTTACAGTATTATTAACCAAGCTTAGCATGTTGCATGAATATGTCTGTTGAAGACAGCTAGTCCAGTATTGAAGCTCTTATTTTCCCATATCCAAAGTAGGGATAAAATTCAAGCAAGATTCTCAATGTTAATAATTTATGAGCAATGCAGCTACAATAATTCCAAATATACATGTTATTTGTTTGAGCAAAAGCTCGGAATGTGAATTGACACTGAACAATATTTGAAATATTGTATGCTGTTGGTAGAAAGATAAAACTAACAAGTGTTATTTATTTCAATTCATGAAGCAGGCTTGCAGACATTTTGGGTAAACTCTTAAATGCTGTGAACTAAAATGAAATCTCATAATCTGAATATCTGTAGTAATATTAATATAACTAATATCTGTAACATAGATATTAATTATAATGTAATGTGATATAATTAAGAAAGGCCTTTTGTTGGCACTTCTGAGCCCACTTTTCAGATCACCTTTTAATGTAGTAGTTTAAGATGCATATTGGGGTCAGTCCTGGGAGTTGGGGGGAAAAAGACTCCAGTGTAAGGGAACCATTTTGGCAGAGCAATTTTGGTAAGCGCCTGTTCCCTCCGCCAAAGGCTGGGGAACCGCTGAAAAGAACAGAGCGATTCACGTTCCCGCTTGCTCCACCTCCAAATCCTGAGCGGATCCGGCAAGAGTATAATACAGGCAGGGTAAAGCAGATCGAGTTGGGTGTGACTGCGTTTGGCCGCGCCTACTTTCCCTGCAAATCCTCTCGCGCGGCGCTGATCTAGGAGGAGGCAGCGGCGGCGACGGTGGCCTCTGGGTGAGAACTTGCCCCGCTGGGCATCGGGCTGGGTGGGCGAGGCTGATCCCAGGTTGGGGGCTGGGGCGAAGGCATCTCAGTCTTTGATGGGAAAGCTTAGGAGGGAAGTTCTGGCGTTGGGAGAGCAGGGTGGATTGTGGGGTGGGGTCTCCGCCGAGGCCCTGAGACGATTTCTTCGCGTGGATTGCGTGGAAGGTGCTGCTTGCGCGGGAGGAGACGAGGCCCTATGGACTGCCTTGGAGAAAGGGTTACGGGTCAGGGCATCTCGCTGGAGTGAGTTCACCTGCTCAGTTCATATGAGGCAGTACTGTGAAGGGATCTTGCGCTCCAGATGATTGTAGAGCGATAGGATATTGGGCACTATTTAGGATTATGCGTGCGCAGTGGTGTGGAATTACTGCACCAGGGATCGAAGCAAGGGTAGTGAGTGGTGTGCAGAAGAGACTAAAGATTCACTCAAGGAAGTCTGTTGTCTCAAGGCTTCTTAAGTCTTTCAAAGATGCGGTCCTTTACTCCTCTTGACTAACAAAGTACTATCGTATTTTACTATCTATCTGAATGATGATGGCTGTACGAGACATGCTTTCCATTCACTACTTCCCTTCATTTAAACATATGTTTTTTCCTTCTTGGCCCTCCTTTGAAGGGCATTTTGAAGATGCCTCCTAACTATTGTAATCAGCAAAAGGAATGGGTGAGGGCATCTGCTCCATGCTACATTTTCCCAGGTTAGCATCCTGGGCTGCATTCTTATTGGAAAATTTCCTCAGTTGATGAATAAAAACATCCCAGTTTATCAGGAGTAACATAATGTCAGGCTGTTTGATTAGGCAAAAGCTCTTAATTAGAAAGGATTTTTTTGCCTGTAACCTTCCCTTACCCCTCCCCCCCCCCCATATAATGATGAAAATGGAACTGTTCCCAATTATTTGGTAGGATATACTATAGCAGATATGAATCTGTAATAATCTGAGGCAAACAGA